GGCGGGGGAGGGGGGCGGGGGCCTGTACCTGTCATCCGCGCCGGGTCCCGGCCGCGCAGCGCGCCCGCGTAACTGTTGCTAGTGGACAGCGCCGCCACTGCGCGGGAACAATACGTTAGACTGGGGGCTGGGGGCTCTACTGCTTCCGACAAGGTTATAGATAAGTATCGTCGTTGACTCACAACTCTAACAGGCAAACTTGTTACGACGCTACGATCGTTTCACGATTTGTGATTTGTGTTTTGAACTGTCGAAACGCTAAGGTCACGTTCACACGGCGACCATTCGATTCGATTTTTTCATCCGACACAACCGACTAATGCAACGCACAAGGACAACTGCGGGCCACGCGTGCGAGTGCATACGATTCTCGAATGGGCGAGTCGTGTGAACGAGATAACATGAACATAAGCGCCACTGCGTGTCGTATATTCGATAAAATCGTTTCGAGACGCGGCGTTTCTGGTGACAACTTCGCACGGTATACGTTAAAATATATTTCTCGAACACGGGATTTTCCGTATGAACGCCGTGTTAACAATTTTTGAGTTTTCATATATATTCTGTTGTCGCTACTCTATTCGATAAAATCTCGTATACGATATACGGAAAAATAATCGCCCTGTGAACGTGGCCTACGTGTTAGGGCTCTTTCAATTCAGAAGTTTAGTGTCGGACGACCGCCGCACGTTTCTCATAACCCGATGCCGTCCGATCCAATCGCTTACAATGACTGTCGTGCGTCTATAAATAATTCTAGTGGTGTTTAAATTCCTTCACATTTATATCATTTACTTTATATTCAAGCAAATATAAAAATTAAATTTCTCTCACGTCTAGTCCCGCACTACTCATCAGTGAAATTAACTCGAGGAGCTGACGTTCCGTGTTATCGTCGCGCGTGTTCGCTACCGAAACCGCACCGTAGTCGCGCGTTGTCTTTGAAAATGACTATAAGAGTCCTTATTCTGATATAAATATGATCGCGTCTGTCTTTCAGTATGAGCAGAAGACAAGATTCTGAATCTTGACTACCGATCCAGCCTGAACACTGTTTTCACGCACCATCATCACGCAAGCTTTCCTCCCTTGTAGTACTACGCCAACCGTGCAGTCAACTATTAGGTACAATTATGATGATGAAGGTTAACAAGTAACAAGTCAAGTCCTATAGTTCTATCAAAATATTAGTTTTGTATGAGTTCGTTGGTTACGACGTCGTAATATGTTTGCGTCAAATAGCATATTTTTATTTATACCTCAAAAATAAATCGTCACATCAATTAGAAAGTGTAATGGTACTTTTATTTTATGTTTTAAAAAAACAACATTACGTAGCACTACGCCTTTTAGGGTAGGCAGAGGTCTGGTGCACATTGGATTGGATGGATGGATTACAACATGATTGAAAACCTCTTAAGTTAGTAACAATAATCATAAAAAAAAAGTAATTGGTACTCACTTATGTGACATATTCACATTTCCAAACATGGATACGTACACACACACTCACATACACACGCACTACATACAACAGATGCACACACGCACATACGCACACATACACACGCACTACATAAAACAGATGCGCATACGCACACACACACACACACACACGCACAACACACATTTACTTACTTACTCACTTACATCCACACATATTAAACGAAGTTGTAGTTGAAGAAGTAAAGTTGTATTACTGATAGTTACACTAGTTCGTCAATATTGACTATTCCTTTCTCTTAAGTAGTTGGTGGTATTGTTGTAAAATGCACACTGGTCCGTGTGTGTAGCTACCGTGTATTTATAATTAGGTAAAAATGACACTGCAGTCGTACCGACTGCAGTGTCATCAAAAAGCATGTACAGTTGAAGACCGTACACATACACACACACAAAATACACATTTATATTTAAGCGTTATGATAACTTTTCTTTATGTACTGTTTGTTAGGGAGCCTGGGCCTCACGACACAGGGAATCCTAGTGTGAGGTCCAGGATACAACAAAATTGTAAAACTTTTTGAAATAAACATTTAAAAAAAAAAAAAGCATTATGGCACTTATTGCGACTGTAAAAACAAAATAATTGGAACCACTTGGAGGAACAATATAATTAATTTTTGATTGAGTTTACCCAAAATGGTTAGCTTCCTCATGCACTTCTCAAAAACTTTTGCATTGATAAATATTAGTAGTTCTAGTAACAAAACACCGCGTACATTATTGTCCATAACAAACTCTTCATTATTTATTTTAATTGGAGACACAATTGCGTTATCTTTATTCCTCACTATAGATAGAAAGCATTTCTTTTTTGTATTTAACGGGCCCACGTTTGGCCACTGTCCGGCTGGTGGTAAGTGATAATGCGGCCTACGATGGAGCACGACTGCAAATCCTATTCACTCGGGGCTTGAAGGCTCCACAATTTTCAACATTGTTAAATCGTGCTTGTTGTTTTGTGAATGTATAAATGTACTAGCTTCAGCCAGTAGCATCGCCTGCGTGCCGGGATTATACTAGCCGATGTGTTATTCCCGACCATAGTCTACTCCTGTTCCAAATTTCAACCTGATCCCTTCAGGGGGTTCGACGTGCTTGAGTAACAAACATACACGTACAAAATGTCGCATTTACAATATTAGTGAGTTATACACTAGACGGCGCCGTTGCTGCGGTAGCTGGGCGCAGGGCGAGCAGCTGCCATGGAGAATATCACATATTTCCGGGATAAAAAGTACCCTATTATTTAATCCAGACTTTTAACTTTACATTTGCAAAAATTCAAAGCAATCGGTTTAGTACTTACGGCGTGAAAGCGGAACAAACAAACAAACTCACTTTGTGATTTATAATATTAGTAAGGATAATGTTGTACGTCCCTCGGAAATCTAAAAATATTGCAATGTCTGCAAAAGGCCGCTAAGTATTAGCCACTATAATAATTCTGTAGCCATCATTTGTACACTTGGTTGCAATAAACGCTTTCACTTTGACTTTGAGCATGTAAAACAGTGGCGCTGATCGTCGGTCGGCTCGGCGCGCGGCGATGACAAACGGTATGTAATGTTCCTGCATCACACGGCAGACGTACCTTCACGCGACGTCGTCGTTGCAGTCTCTGACAATACGGATGGTGGCGGCGTATTACAATTAAATGTCTATTTAGTCCGTCAATTGGATAATGAAAAAATATTAGAAACATATTTTTTATTTTGTCATGTCAAGAAACCAATATTTAGATAAAACTAATCAAAGTTTAGAAATGATAGTTATAACGTCATTTCTACGCATAAAAGGTACATACATACAAGGGACGTCCATATTTCACATCAATGTATCGTCGAAAGTATTTATTTTCTAAAAATTCTAGTCTTTAAAAAGCTACCAGACGGACATTAAAATAAAAATTAGTCTAGTAATCTACCTTATTGCCTACGTTTACGTCAAATTTTTACTGAACGTTGGCGACGACTGACTCTTGCTCACCGCGAAAACATATTGATACGTTATTACAAGCAAAGTAAAATAGAAGTTGGAGTTGATTGTGTCGCGGCAAGTCGAGCATCAAGTCTGCAATGTCCGTCGCGCTCACAAGGAATACGAAACAACCAGCTCCCGTGACACCGGGGCACCGCAACGACGATACTTATTGAGACCTTGTTTTTTGTAGGTTACCATTGTGCCTACATTACCAAAACCATACTGACCATGACCATGTATATATATATTTAGTAAGAATACATAAATAGTAAATATATTTGTCATTTTCCATGTCAATACATACATTTTAATACATAATATCATATTTATATCCTCATTTTTACTTGAATTACTGATTGCATAATTTATTACATAATATATAATAATAATAATAATAAACCTAGCATTAGTTAATGAATTTAGGATAATAAATAAGGGAAGAGAAATAAGAGATGACGATTAGTAACTACGCGCTGAATATTTTGTGTGAACACAATGTCAGTCGAGGAGACTCGTGAAGTGAGAGCGGCGGAGCGCGGAGGAGGGGGGATAGGCGTGATCCAGTCAGTGCGAGGGACGGGACGCGGGAGGGGGAGGGGGAAGCAATGTGCGGCCTTGGCGGCCCGGGCCGGGCGATGGCACCCGCCGGGCCGCCGGGCCGGGACCGGCGACGGCGAGCACTCACCTTCCTGCGGCGCGGGGGCCGCGGCCGGCCGCTCCAGGAACTGGTGCTGGCGCAGCAGCGTGCAGTCGCCGCCCTCGGCGTCCAGCGCGTACACGTACAGCACGCCCTGCGCCGTGGCCACGAGCAGGCGCGGCGCGCGCGCCACGCTGGTGATGGCGGCCACCGCGCGGTAGCCCGTATGCGGCAGGCGCGCGGCCGCGAAGGCGCGGCCCTGCGCCAGCACGTCCGCCACCTGCGCCGGCAGGTAGCCCGCGCCGGCCGACACGGCGCTGGACAGCCAACCCATCCAGCCACCCGCCGCCTCGTCATCAGCCGGCGCGGGCTCGTCGGCCGCGGGCCCGGCCGGCGCGGGCTCGGTGAGCCGGAACACGTGCACGGTCTCCGTGTTGGACGTGGCGGCCAGGTAGCTGCCGCAGGCGCTGAAGGCGAGGCAGGCGATGGACACGCAGCGCTTGACGCCGCGCCGGAACTCGTAGAGGCGCGTCCGCTCGGGCACCGCGAACACGCGGATGACCGTGCCGCGCTCGGACGCGGTGGCGAGCCGGCGCCCGCACATGGACCACGCCAGCGCCGCCAGCGGGCTGTCGTGCGCGCTGATCACGCACTTTGCATTCTGTGGAGGACGCGGCGATCAGCGACATTTTAAGGATGCGGAGTCGCGGGGCTGGGGCAGGCCGGCACTCACCAGATGCACGGCGTCAAAGATCTGCACTTCACCCACGGCACTGGAGCCGGGGTAGGCCACGTAGCAGTGGTCCACGCAGGGCGACAGCGCGCAGAGGCCGCGCGGGTTGGGCGGCGTGTCGCGGATGGTGTGCAGGATCTTCATGTCGCGGATGTTGTGGATGTGCAGCGACTCCTCCAGACACACGATGAGCCTCTGCAACAGACACAGGCCATGAGCCGGCCGCCCACTCACTGCGCCCACTGCGCTCGCCGCACTGCGCGTCACTCACGGATCTGTTGAGCTTCACTGCCAGGATGGTGTTGCTGTAGCTGTAGTTGCATATCTCAGTACCCTTCTTGTAATGGCATACTATCAGCTTCCTGTGAACAAACAAAATAATTTGTGATCAAATCTGCCTGCTCCGGGCATCCAAACTGATACTCTTTGTTTAACAGATGTTTAAGTCAATTGTTACCTGGGAGCGGATACAGTGACCACAGCCACAAGCGAGCTGCTGAACAGTCGGTCGACGAGGCAGGTCTCGTGCCCTGAGCGGCTGGCGTAAATTTCCTCGATGCCATCGTCTGCAGTTAGCGTGAACAGGTGGTACCCACTACTACTGCCCGCCACCAAGGACCTGCAATATCACATTTCTACTCACTTTCTGTCGAGGACAAAATAAAAAGAATACGTGTTTAATATTTTTTCATAACCTAACTGACGCATGATGGGAATAAATAAGTAGATTTTAAATTTTCATACGCGCCGTCATCATCAAAATCAAATCAATTTATTTGTGAACACAGGTAATACAGGAGGGTGTTAAAATATACATTAATATTATAATATAATGTATATTTATGTATACATAATGTATATTTATGTATACCTCGTGTGTTCATAAGTTTCGAGACAAACTTTTTGCTTATAAAAATAAAATAAAAATTACTGGCTGCTGTATATTTCTTTTCTAATTTTGAATTTGGAATGTTAACTTTTAATATCTATGATTTCGGATTATTTTATTTAAATTTTTCGTAATGGAGGGAACAAAAGAATTACGTGCGACCGTCATTTCATTATTTAAGGTGTGTAGAAAACCTATGGACATTTTCCGAGAACTGAAAAGTTTTGGTGTGAGCCGTAACTTCGTGTATTACACTATTAAACGATACCAGGAGACAAGTTCTTTACATGATCGGCAAAGAAGTGGTCGTCCACGCTCTGTGAGGACGCCTGCGAACATTAAAATCATCCGAGAGCGACTTCGCCGAAATCCATGTCGCACTCAGAAGAAACTCGCTCTGCAGACCAATATTTCGCGCGTTTCAGTCAACAGAATACTGAAATATGATCTCAAGGTTAAGGCGTATAGCCGTAGAAAAGTACACTTTTTAAACGATCGCCTTCGTCAATTGCGACGCGAACGTTGTCCAATACTGCTTAGGAGACACGATGCGAGGAAGATACTCTTCACCGACGAGAAAATCTTTACCGTCGAAGAAAAGTTCAATCGACAAAACAATAAAGTGTATGCCAAAAGTAGCAAGGATGTCCCACCTTCAGCACGGAATGTCTCGCGTACTCATCATCCGGCTAGTGTCATGGTATGGTGGGGAGTTTCGTACGAAGGTGTCACTCAGCTTCATTTCTGCCAACAAGGCGTCAAGGTGAAAGCCAAAAATTATCAAAGTGACATTCTAGAGACTGTTGTGAAACCCCTGTCTAATACCCTATTCCATAACAAGTATTGGGTTTTCCAGCAAGACTCGGCGCCATCCCATAAGGCTAAAACCACCCAAGCTTGGCTGAAGGAAAATGTGCCGGCCTTCATTGCGGCGAACGAATGGCCCTCCTCCAGCCCCGACCTCAACCCGCTGGATTATTCTCTATGGACCGAATTAGAGCTCAGAGCCTGCCGAAAGTCCCACCCAAACTTGGAGTCACTTAAGCGAGCTCTTGTCCGAGAAGCGAAGCGAATTCCTCTGGAAAAAGATTCGTGCCGCCATTGATGACTGGCCAAATCGTCTAAGGGCATGTATTAAAAACAGGGGTGGTCATTTTGAATAATAATTATATTTAATTTTTACTTACTATCTACTTAATGTTTGTTATTGTTTTTATAAATATAAGTTTATTATTTAAAAAGATATGCAACTTTTAATTTGTCTCAAAACTTATGAACACACGAGGTACATAAATATACATTAGTATCTCCATGTCCAAAGATACTGTTCCTGTATAGTGCAGTTCTAGATTTTAATAAATTTAACTGGTCACAACGACGTTGACTGGTTACTCGGTGAAGTTGACTAAAATTATTTTTCACAAACAGCAGTTTCACATAACACATTTTAACACAACATAACATCACGCCTTTTAATCCCCGAAGGGGTAGGCAGAGGTGCACATTTCGGCACTTAATGCCATTGTAAGTACAATGTAACACCCACTTTTCACTATTTATGTTACGAGTCCCATGTAATAGGGGGTGAGCCTTTTGCCATATACCGGGCACATTTCCAGGCTTCGTGCTACTACTGAGATTTTTAAAAATCCAGTAATGCTTTGTCCGACCCGGGAATCGAACCCGAGACCCCTTGCCCAGCAGTCGCACTTGCGACCAATCGACCAACGAGGCAGTCGTTGGCATAGCAGTTTGATAGATGTATAATGAGGGGACCGTCATAATTTGGGATTTTAAAGAAAGTGTAGCAGCTGTCAGTAGACTGCACATTACAAATAGCCCTAATGCATCTTTTTTACCTTTTCTTTGGTTGCATGCCCCCAGGAAATAATTCCATATCTTAATGTTGATGCTACTAGACCATGGTATGCTGTCAACACTGTTTTTTGGTTTGCTGTTTTATTTAACATGTGAAGAGCTTTTAAAAACTGTCAAACACGAAGCGGTCACCGGTGACCGCAACCTATTGTTCTATAATTGTGTCTATAATGACGGTGCTCGACGAGTTAAATACTTATTTCATTTATTTATACGTGTTCCAAGTCCTAGAAATTTTGTTACATTTTTACGTTTCATTAATACTTTTTCAGTGATATTCTATGGTTAAATTGGTGTATTGACCCATTCACTGTTCAAATTTCATTATTGCCGTCTTATCTAGGGTTATGATCAAATTATTATGTTTTAACCAATTTATAACAGATTCAATGTTAGCGTTTACAGAGTAGCGTTCCGTAAACAGAGTTCGGAGAGTTGTAGGCCATTATTTATAACGCATAAAATGCTGACAGTACCATCACTCTATATCTTAGAAGTAGCACTGTTTGTTAGAAGCAACTCTCACTTATTTCCCACTCTGGCTGATAAAGTAAAACGAAATCGACGTGACAACAATCGACTATGTATTCACCCATCTAAAACAGCACTAATGCATAAAAGCGTGATATGTATGGCTCCCATAATTTATAACAAAATTCCTAAAGAAATTATTAAATTAAATTTAAACTTATTCAAACAAGCGTTGAAAAAACTACTAGTTAATAAATGCTATTATAGTGTTCATGACTTTGTAAATGACAAATGTTTGTAATTTTTCTTTGTTGTCCCTGGTCAGGAGGTTTGAGTCTCTTATAGGAATGTTACAATTTAAAAGTTTAATAACTGTTGTAATTGGATTTAATATTATATTCCACATTTGTACACCAGAAATGGTCAAACATGTTGATACTATGCTCACTGCTCATCTGTACAACTTATAATGTGCATTTATGATGTATTATTATTTAACACGTGTTTTTGCAAATAAATAATCTTTGTCTTTGTCTTTGTTTATATCTGCTTCTAATGTTTGTAAGTCATCACTATTAAATAGTAAAGTACTATCGTCTGCAAATATGGTCATTGGATATGTGGATGATGTTGGAAAGTCATGTATATAATAAATAGAGTCGGGCCAAGGACACTACCTTTTGGTACGCCGTCAGTAACAGTTCTCTGGTCAGACCTATAAGTTACTTCGCTATCTTTAGTGATTCTACTAATAACTGTCATTAACCGTCTGTTATGTAGGTAGGATTCAATTAGAATTAATACGTTTCTTCTAATAGTAATAGACTGCCTCATTGGCCGAGTGGTCGCAAGTGCAACTGCCGGGCAAGGGGTCTCGGGTTCGATTCCCGGGTCGGGCAAAGTATTACTGGGTTTTTAACAAATTCTCAGTGGAAGCACGGAGTCAGGAATTGTGAAATGTGTGCCCGGTATATGGCAATAGACTCACCCCCTATTATATGGGACCCATAATATAAAATTATGAAAAGTGGTGTTACATGGTACAGTGGTATTAAGTGCCATATTGTGCGCCTCTGGCTACCCCTTCGGGGAAGAAAGGCGTGATGTTATGTTATGACTTCTAATAGTTTACTTAGGAGTATTTCTTGATCAACGCGATTATGATTTTTATATTACAGCTGGTAATTTCTTATCTACTTGACTGCTAACTTTATCTAGAGAGTCGTATATGGCCATTTCAATTAACTTGTTTTACCTGAAGCCTTTTTGGTTGTCTAGTACTAGTAATTTTTTTTTAATATGAAATGATTTGACTATTAATTATTTTTTGTATATCTTAGATGATGATGATGTTTGATGAGTACTTTACACCTAGGTGAGGTGTAATTGTCAATAAGGGTCTGATGATGAAGTAGTACCATAGTTGAGGGAACTCCTCAACGGTTACCAGTAGCTATGTTGTGTTTGTGTTAGATAACTTATATTGATGAGGATGTTACACCTTGATTGAGGGTGGGGGGGTGATGGTCATTAAAGGTCCAATGATGAAGTAGTATGATAGCTAAGGGACTCCTCAATGGTTAAGAGTCACCACCCAGTGTTTGAACTTGAATAATTTGTATTGATGAAAACTTTGCATGCATGTGGGTTGTGTATAATAATTATATTTTAATAACCTGTATGTATCCTTTTCTGAAATACAAAAGTGATTGGTTATCATCACATGTATTAGTCACTCAGACATTTGTTTTTTATTTAAATCTTATCCCAACCAGTTTGGAGTTGGCAATGACTCAACTAAATTCAGTTGAATGTCCGTACTTTACATGAAAATATTCTAGACAGGAGCTCCACCATTATATCTTAGACCAATTCAGGCACCCAAAACCCTGATTTATAGACAGTATTTCCCAAGGACATTCAGAATATTGAACAAACTCCCTGCTGTGGAAAACCGCATGACTTAATTAAAGCGAAAAACAATATATTACTATATTACAATTACTGTACATACCCTGTACACCTGCAGCATTGAACATTAGCAATAATAATGATGTTAATCTTTATATTTATCTCTAGTACATACGAGCGGTCACCGGTGACCGCAACCTATTGTTCTTTAATTGTGTCTTTAATGACGGTACTCAACGAGTTAATCTGGGAAAGCTATAGGCTTTAAAACATCAAGTTACAATCAATAAGAGGCAAGCAGTGGGGAAACCACATGGGAGTAACATAGTCTATATTTAATACATAAAATTGGAAAGTTTTGTTGATATCGAGGAAGTCATGCTCATATCATCTATGATAAACCAAACAGCAGGAAGTAACTACCTATGTAAAAACATGCTAAATGTTACTGACATTATTAACGTGAAAGTTTGTTTGTGTGTAACATCTGGAATAACACACAGGCTACTTTTGATTCGACGAGAACGCGGGCGAAGCGGATCGCCTTAGCTAGTTCCACAATAATGATGGTAACTCCACTGAGGCATTAACCCAGTAAATTTACGCTGTTTACGCTGACACCAGCACGGTCCCATATAAAAGTATTGCGACTGGCCACGCGTTCGCCTGCGTGCGATGGGATACCGAGGGGCGTCACACGCGGATTCGACGTATATATTATTATAAACGGGCTAATATTCGCTGTTGCTTTTAATATGCTAGTCGTCGTCGTTTTGCCATGTAATATAGTACTCCATCGATACGACAGTATATTATAACACACCGTTAAACTTGTACTAGTGACACAACAATCCGATCTCCACGCGGGAGTCGGGACAACACGCGGGAGTCGGGACAACGCGCGTGGACCCGGCGCATGGACACGCGGAGGCTGACTGTCGCGGGCGTCAGCTTAGTGCAGTTTCAGCTCATATATCATATGGTGTAATGATTTCCTGACTGTTGTTATTGATAGAATCTACGACATCGAATATTGACACATCACAGTAGATGATATTTAGGTTTGTGTTTTTATTATAAACCACTTATAGTGGTGTACAGAATCAAAATATGACGTCAGTGTACCCTGCCAGGGTGCTATTATTAACTATTTTTGTTAAGCATCACAATTTTATGTACCAAGGTCATGAAGTAAACACCTATGGTAAATAAATATATCAACAGCTGTTACATTCTATTCCTTTGTTTGATGATAAGTTTTAGGACAGAACTGTGTACTATGAAGCGGCAAGCAAGTTAGCAAGTGACTAGTTGACTACACAAACATCAAATGAGATAGTTTGCTTGACCTCGACGCCATGTTTGTTTACAGCTAGTGCTGCGGAGTACGGATGAAGACATTACGAAACAGCTGGCAATGACATATTGCATCATCACGCTAACAACGAAACGCACTTCTAACAATAACGAACTTTATTTACTGATATCGCATCCTTTCCTAGGTAATTTCAGCCAGTGCGAGATTTGACTTCCCAATCACTTAACATTATTTTGTTAGAAATAGGCCACTGAAGCTCCACAGATCCTTGAAATGTCTATTGCAATACTTACGTGCAGTCCTGATTGAATTGTACAAATATTCCTCCTGCATTTGAGCCATCAGAGCTTTGTCCTCCTCCACTCATTGGAACGTTCGAATGATACAGATTATTTAAAAACTAAGTTCTAAAAATAAAGGCACACACGAACAACAAAAATAAATATTTTGGTTGTAGAAGTATAATCACTCACGCCACAAAGTTAATACTTGAAACTAATTGTTCGTCACAAGAATCTGAATTTTGACACAAAGAACGACCTTGTTGCAGCTGCTAAAAACAAGCCCCCTCCCCCGCACTGTTCTAATCTATTAATGTTGCCAACAGTCTCAACTTTTATGCTACCTATTTTATTGAATTCTTAATAACTGCTACTTCTTCTTTAGTTGCTGGTAGAGATGGTCGATACAGAAAAGGGAAAACTACTTAATGCTAAAATCGCCCATATCTAATTGTTGATTTTTTATTTAATACTCATTGTAACATAATTATATAATATATTTCAATTTGCAACTACTTAGGTACCCAGAAGGCAAAAAAGCTATACATGTGTATCCATAGACTAACAATAGATAAGCAGACCGTACATTAACTCCTTGTAATACGTATGTATACCACCATTCTTTGTCCTTGTTCTGTCAAGCACCAACCTAATAATGGCGTCTCGTTCTTTACCTGTAGTACACTGATCCACACATAGACAAATATACATGTAGGTAGTTTTTTCGTGCCGCCATATTAATATGTTTTTACATACAAACAACGTTATAAAAGAAAATATTATTTGCTTAAACCATTAAACGTTAAAATAATATAAAATAAAATGGTGAAGTGCAGTGCGCACCAATTTGACAGCAATAGCTATAAGACGATACCTAGAATAACCTTCCATCAATAGGTTGTTCATAACGTTATTGTAGACTATAAAAATTGTCGATATTTTTGAATAAATCAACTGTTTGATAATGTTTCATCGTTTATAACGAAGCCTTATCAACTAACTCGTCATTTGATCATAAGTATACTTAGAATACACTGTACAAAAATAATAGACTTAATTAATTAAAAAGAGATGTTTCATTTTCGGTCATGACTTGTACAGTTACTGAGAAAGAGGAAAAAATACCACGAACCAAGGAAAAATAAAATCTGGTGAATTTAGGTCTTAGACGTTGAATACATACAATACATAATATTTTTTCAATGATTGCCATATTTAATTCAACATGGCGCTCACACCGTATTCATTCGTTCTAAAATCACCTAAAATAAAAAATAAATTTTACGTAGAAAGTAAATATAACAAGTATTTTAGTATTATCAATACATAGTATAAAACAAAGTCGCTTTCGCTGTATGTCCGTATGTATGCTTAGATCTTTAAAACTACGCAACGGATTTTGATGCGGTTTTTTTTAATAGATAGAGTGATTCTTAAGGAAGGTTTGTATGTATAATACATGCATATTGCACCCGTGCGAAGCCGGGGCGGGTCGCTAGTTAAAAATATAATGTATTTAATGTATAATATTGTTCTCTAGTACATTTTTAAGTACTGAAGTGAGTTTCTGAACGAGTTCAACATACATAACTGCCACCATTTTTTGAACTGCCAGTCAGTCTCGTTCGTCTCAACTTGATTTTGACTTTCGTGATTTTTGGTGTTAAGGCATTGGCTGCCAATAAAAAACTGTTGAAGGCAAATCCTCCGCTAATGTCGGTCACCAGTGACTGCCATGGCGTTTAACGTGTTAAGCCAGCGTAAATCAATCTGAAGTGTCTTTGGGAAATGACTTGTTTTAGAATTACATAAGTTTTGTACATTTCTTTTTATCTATCTTTAATAGATTATATCATACCAATATATAACTAACTAGCTTCTGCCCGCGACTTCGTCCGCGTGGAATAGTGACTGCCAGTTCTTTCGAGATTTTTGGGTTAAACACCATTCTATGTCCTTTCTCGAGTTCTAAACTGTCTGTACCAAAATTTCATCCAAATCGGTTCAGTAGTTTAGGCGCGAAGGAAAGACAAACACACAGATAGACAGACAGAGTTACTTTCGCATTTATAATATTAGTTAGGATTAGAGTATGGTACAACCCATCTGTTATCTATTGTAATCGGCCTCCCTCTGATGTTTACAACTGCAACATGACCACCCTTTTCAGCATTACGACGATAAAACGTCTGCACAGTGAAAGTTATGTTAGGGACATTTTGCGTTTTAGTAATTTTATATTATCTCCGAAACTGTATGACCAATTGATATACTGTAAATGGCAAATCTTATCTGCATGATGTAATAATTTATTGCCATAAGAATTAATATTTTGTTGGTCAAACAATCATGCAAACGTAAGTATGCCAAAAAAAAAAAAATATGCAATAAAAGAAGTATAAAAGATAAAATAGAAAAGATAGAGATATGGTATCGCGGACTTTTTGTAGAAATAATTAAGACGAACCAGGAGACCTACATAGTTTTTAATTTTAAGCAACTGTTTAGGTAGCGCACGCTTAATAAACATTATAATACCGGCCTAATCTCTGCGCCCCTCCCGCCTTGGCAATAGGTACTCACTTCGAAACGGGCCGTACAGAAAAATCGTAATATTTGAATTTCGCCATAACTTCAAAACCAAACATCCGATTTTAATAAGGATAATATTTTGATAAGGATTAATAGCATGAGTGAAATAAATGTATTATAATGTAGTCCAAAAAAAATTCAAGAATTTTTCTTAAAAAATGCTAGTTGTGCCTTACTGGACCTAGATAGGTATAGTGTGTCGCGGACTTTTTTGTAGATATTTATAAGACCTACAATTAATTAGAACATTTTATGGTTCTATCTTTTATAGATTAGGCAGCGCACGCAAATAATTCTTTTTAAGGGGAATTTTTTCCGACTTGCTAGGCAAAACTTGTGATAGCTCGGTAAATATACATGTTATAGAAACAATTTATAGCCTATAGCACTCAGAAATAATGCAGCTTTCTGCTGGTAAAAAAATTTTAGAATTGGATTATTACTTCCAGAGATTACCCCTTGCATACGAACTTACAAATTTTACCTCTTTATAATATTAGTAGAGATACTAAACAAACATAACTTATTTTGTATAACATTAGGAAAATAAGAACTATTTTTCATAACACTGGTAAGTTCTGATTATGATGTATTGACATTGAACGAAACGCATCTGTCATCATGGCTGTCAGAACTCTTATGACACACGTCAAAAATTTATAATTTTTATTTTATACTCAATTAATACTTAAAAGTAGGATAAAAATGTTGCTTTATCCATACAGTGGCTTATTTCCCACATTCCCTAAATAAGTTTTTATTTAAATTGTTGTAGGCTAAAACTAATAGTCATTTTTTTAAATTATATTTATTTTATTTACTTTCTAGAATTAATAATAACTATTATACAATTAAATATATACAATACAAGATAAAAATTAATATATACAACTTAAAATATATATAAAAAACAAATTTAAAACTAAAATATTTACACCTTAATAAAATAATAATAATAAAAATAAATCATAAGGCATCAAAGAAAACATTTTCCTCATCGCTACCGTGAGGTAGGGTGCCCAAAAGACTGGCAGCATTGCCACGTTGAATGGCAATGCTTAACCTTTGCCCAAGGTAGTAGCCAGCCCTTCGATCACCTGAAGTGTCAACCATCCTCCTTACAATATCTTTGTAAAGAAGATGTGCACTTGGGCCCCACGGCCCTAAAGTTTCAACCCCAAACGGTTCGAAAGCATAATTGCCAATCAGGCTATTATACTTTCGCCGTTTGAGGTTCTCGGCAGCAGCAGCGGCAGCACCGGCTCGACACGCTGAGCTTGGAAGATGGGATGGCGCCAGAGTATCAACGCAAGTGGCGTCCCATACTAAAGCCCTACCCATCTTCCAAGGGAATAATGACATACCGTCGGGTCTCTTGCCATCGTCGCGTACCAAGCCATTAGGTTCTAAAGTAGCTGGCACGCCAACGGAGGCAAGAGCTCGACGAATTATGTCATTAATACTTGCGTGTCGAGCAAAACGGCCCGCACTACGGCTACATGACAAGCCGTGGTGTCCAAGGCTGTTGACATCTTCACCACAACGACAACGATGAGGTGAACAAAATGAAGCTCCAAGCCTTAAACAAATTGCAGCGCGGAACGTGGTGTCGTCTAACAAAGTACCTAGGTTAGACGAAGGTAAAGCAAGAAGCCATAACCCCGACTCCCACTCACCCACAGCCAAAAGGCGAGCTCTCTCTGCAGTTGAACAACAGGAGTTCAAGAGATTTTCGCTCACTTTTCTGCAGAGCGGCTCGTCCCATTGCCTCTGGGAATGTGATTTGACGGGGGGGTCAATATTTGGGCAAGCGATTTTCCAAGCATTCACAGCTTCCACTAAACATGGTACATCAAAATTAACCAGTGATTGAGAAAGAATTTTCCTGGTTAATTCTTCAGTACCAAGGGCGGAAGATATGAAAGCCGGTTGATTTATTTATTTGATTTATTTTTTTTAAATAAATCAACTTTTTTGATTCTAAGCTATCGTTTAAAACGAAGCCTTATCAACTATTACACCAATAGCCTATAAGTTTACTTCATAGACTTAAAATAGATAAGCTATGTGAAGCCAAAAACATACATGCCCCATTTATAGCCTAAACGGGGCCGAACTAAGGTCGGCATTAGAAGTAAAGGACATTATAATGATTATACGGTATAATAGAAGGAAAGAAGTTGTCTTGGGAGTGCTCGCTGGTATTGAAGGAAAGAGAGATAACTGTTACTTGATAGTCTTAACAATAACAAGGGCCTTAATAAAAATATTATTCTCCTTTTTAACGTATTTTATTTAAAGAAGCAATCTTTTATACATTTACTATATTATGAGGATATTAAAATAATTTAATACCTACCTACGTATGTACGTTTTAAAACTACACTTTATTCAGTTCTTAAAAAAACACGCTTATATCTATGAGGGTACCTAATTGGCAAATAATGTCGTTTATTTCTAATGCCGACCTTAGTTCGGCCCCGTTAAAGCTATGTTGCACATGTGTTTCTTTTTAGCTTCACTTTTGTTTAATTATATCTGTAATGTTTCTAAAGTAATAGAGCGCAACGATGCTATTTGGCAATACTGTAGTGATACAACCTAAAAGCAAACCAATTTGGTAGAAAATTAATAACTTTATGAGTAAACACATAACTGTCAAGTGTCAATGTCAATAGACTAGCTAGTAGTGTCATAAAAACAGAAAAACTGTTATTATTATTGAATGTTAATGAATAACTAATTTCATTTAATTAATAACCTGTGTCAAGTTTCAGCAGTGTGTGTTTATCGTGGTGTTTTGAGATATAGATATATTTTTTACTAAATATCAAAAACAAATATATTAACTGAAAAACAATACTATTCCTTCAGTCGGGGGTAACGTTTGTAGGTACTTATCTCGTGTTTCAATCCAAAGATGGGACGTAAAATACCGGCGAAAAAGCATCGTGGTGTGAAGGATCCTTTAGTGCAACAGGCGAGACGCTTAGAAGGGTATGCAGTGTTATAATATTATTTGTTAGATTCTTGCTTTTTGTACGATCATCCACAATCTAAAAATAACCTCTACAAGTTAAGCCCTACCATAACGATCTTACTATTGAAATGTTATTTAATATTTTGAAACAAGCGAAGCTACCTTAGCACTTGTCTTTTTGTGTTGCTTGTCATCTATACATGACTCTGGCAGTCGAAAGGTTATTTTAGTTATGCTATCCATTTCATTTCACAAGATGTGGGTTTTTCATTACAATACTATCAGTCATTATTTTACCAAGATGCGTTATGTTTATTCATCATTAATTGTAATATTTAATACAGTGTTCCCATAGAGGCATAGAATAAAAGTTTTTTGTCAAGGAAGCTTTCCTATTCAAAAACAAGGATCACAATGTTTATCTTTTAGGGTGCGTCAACATCTGACGAATGTGCCGGTCGCGAGCCGTTTGAGGGCTGCTCACGAGCACCCTTAGATACAACATTTCGGAATAATTTTAAATATTGTGTGATATTTTTGGAAGTTTACTTAATTAGAAAATTTGTTCAATTTGAATTTACTTTGTGACAAGTACTTCATACACATTCCACTTACCTCTTACCTGTATAAATAATGCTTACTTTTTGTAGGTTAAAGGGCAAAATAAATGCTCCACCAAAGGACCCTGATGAGCAGCCAGTGCCCAAATCACTGACAAGACTTTTTGCATTCCAGGATAAAAAAATGGAAATAAATGTTACAAAGAAAAATAAGTTTAACAGTCAGATCAAAATAAAAAACAATAAAGGTAATATAATTAGGTACATATAATGAGTTTGGAAATAGTTTTTATTGTATTGAACTACTTTAATAAAATCAAAACTATTAAAGCTAAAGCCAGATAGATACATTGTATTAGTTTTTTGGGGATCATGAAAATACTCTTCCAACTCTGGTTGCACAGGAACAGGAACGAATGTATGTCGGGAATCTTTCCTCTTCTCCGTAACGCCTTCATGACCATCATATAGTCGATACAACTCTAGTCACGTCTTTTCTTCCGCTGGCTCATAAGCTTGTGGATTGCTTTGATGTCGACTGTGTCAGGGAATTCTTTACTCAGGGCCGCTTTAAGTTCTTCCCATGATTTGTGAGGGCGTTCAGCTTCCATCCATAGCTGTGCGGTGCCTGATAGGGACCTCCGTGCCATCAGCAGCTGTTGTAACGGTGTCCAACCACATATTTCTCCATTTTCTTCCACGTCTTGAATCTATCGCATAACTGAATAAGTTTTATCTTGACCGGTGAATTTAGGTACGTTGACTTTTTGAATAATATCCGCCGCGTGCACCACGCCACGCGCCGCCGCCGGTCTCCGTCGTCCGTCGTCTTCAAACTCGAACTCGTGTCGTTATTTTTGCCAATCCCGGACGAGCCCCCAATTTTTTATATGACTCCCTAGTGGGTGAGGTTTCACCTGCAACCTCAGCAGGCATCATCCCTACGCCTGTAGTGGTCTGACAGTTTTGTAGGTTCTAGTTGGGCGGCAAGCTACCCTAGCTTACCATTTTTTATCTGAACCACATCCACCAGCTGCCACTCAGACCACGCGCCGGAGCAACCAATATTGCTAAATGGCGAAATAATTATTGTGACCCATTCCAGTCAATGTAATGCCTCATTTACATTCAACGGTAGTGAGCAGGGAAGTGAGCAGGACGAGTATGTAAACTTATTCTTCTCATGCCACTGCTAATGCCACTCGCGCTGCCCAGCGCCACGGTAGATAATATTGCCGTGACTATTGTATGATAATATTACAGAGCGGTTTTTAGTGCGGACTTTAAAGGACCGGCAGCGCGAGCGTTTTAATTCTACTCAATCGCTCAGTTGACGCCGGCCGCCCGAAATAGTTAAACATGTATTTGCGTTGCAGACACAAAGTACATAACTTGAATATAGTTCATATAGTTGCAACTACTTATATAAAATGGCGTACGATCGGAGCACATAATTATGTAATCTAAAACACACAGCGCGGACGCTGCAAAAAGAACATCAGCCAATGCCGGACCTTGAAAACGAAGTGAACGGAAAGGCAGTACGTAAGCACACATATACCTCGAATCTGCCGCAGCAGTATTTAGGGAATTATTGCCGGCAGCGAGAGGAGCAGCGATAGGGGCTCTGAATGTAAATGTGGCATAAGTATTTGCTACAGGCCCCGTGCTGACTTAATGTTACACTGGTATTATGCATATTTAGTTTCATCAGGGAAAGATGAGATGCAATCGTTTCGGGGCCCCCCATAATCGGGGCCAGGGGTGACCCGCCCCTTCTATACCCTGGTTAGTCCGCCACTGCGTATATCATTTACTTTTTATGCAGTACGATATTATGTAGATATTAAAATATAAATTAATGTTTGGATTGGACCACTGTAATACTTGTAGAGTTAGGATTAGGATTGAAACAAAACCTGATCTGAATAAAAAAAAACACATCAAAATAAGGACAGACAACGGAAAGCGAACAAGTGCGGGAATAACGATGGGAGTTTCTTACTCGTTCTTCTCCATTCGAAACTACACTTTGGAATGAGAAGAAGTGCCTAATTAAGGATTTATTTTATTGAAATAAATGTTTTAATTTACGTACGAGTTACGACTGTGATTCGCGACTAACTCCGTGATTAAGTACTCGCATACAAATGTATGTCCATTGAACAGAATGTTCGAGTAACGAAGTGTGTTGACAGGCGGCAGTGCGAGCGCTGCGAGCGCTGCGAGCCCCAACCCTGTGTCTCGGCTGCGCAAGCTGCCCGGGGAGTCCGGCCGAGAGTTCTCACTCCGCATCAACAGCGCTGTGAAAGCTCTACACAACCCGATTGAAGACCTACACTATCCTGTACGTTACCAATAAATGTAATTGCAGCTCTGGTTCCAATAACATAATGTTGGACTTTGGTTTTATTTTTTTTTGGAACTAGCGCGCTACAACCTCCCAAAACTGCTGTGACACCTGTAAGCTAGGATCTACAGTTGATACAACCGTAAAAACTGGGCTTTACCTGGGCACCGACTCGAAGTGCAGGAGTAGGAACGGGGTGGTTTTTAGTCAGTAAGAGTCTGACTCTCTATCCCGGCTTACCCAGGCGGGAGAAGGCATTCGATGATTTTCCACTCCTAAAGAAACCAAGCATCAGTTCCAGATGTTCTGACATCCTTGGCGATGTTTGTTTTGAAAATTTAATTATAAATATTACAAATAGATATTGTTATTGTATCAATATTTAGGTTTTCTTACAAATAAATTAAATGACAATGACCAAATTTGTATGGAGCGTGGTGCCTTTTCATTTTTTCGCGGCAGTTGATCGAATGTGGAAAAACTGATGCAAAATAACATTACAAACAAAAAAATATATGGGGCCTTATATCAAAAACACAGTCCAAACCGAGTTAAATCAGTTCAAAGATGTAAAAATAGTGCTATATTTATTCCTGTGATTTTGTTGATGGTGACCGTACACAACGCATATTTCTTCATTTACTTGTCAGAAATATTTTGTAATAAATGTTTATAAACGATTTCAAGGAATATAATAAAGCTTATTGTGGACTTTTTTACTTATTTTTTTTTTGTTATAAGGCCACTGAATCAGGTCAGAGTGAACCATTACTTAACTGACCACTGCTGAAGAAAAAGAAACATTTCGCTTGATTGGCTAGCGTGTTCAATTTATATGTATATGGTTTATGGCCTATGACAGATCTTCATGATCAATTTCCTCTCAGTCAAAAACCCGCAAAATACTTTACTGAGCCCTATCATGAAATGCTATGTTTGTCAGCTTCGGCGTCGGTAGCGGATTGAATAGCGCTGATAACTTTAAAAGTCGACGGTTTTCTTTCTTCAAAAGATTATGCTAACTATTAAGTAGATGAG